GTAAAGTGTTTATAAGGTATGTTTGCAAGTAATTTTCTGCACCACATAGACTACAAAACAAAATTAGATACGCTAACATTTCACATAATGTCATTTGCTAAATATGGCAGAAGTTACAGGCCAAAGCATGAAAAGTTCCAGTTGACGCAGCCTTGTTTTATTGTACGTTGTATCCCACAATGCCTCAAGCACCTTTGAAGCTTGGCACATTAATTGCTTAACTGAACAAGACAAAACCAATTTTCCTGCTGAGTAAGCACAACAATGAAATAACACTTGCTAATGCTGCTCACTGCAGCAGGTGGGCTATTAAACCATGACGAGGAAAATTCAAAAGCAGAACAGCAGAATTTGTAAATGAAGTGGACTCGAGTTGCAGGGATTTGAAGATGAATGCAGGGGTTTAAATATTTATGACAGGGGTTTGCATACAAGACACAAAACGCAAATAGAAGAGGGCAGAGATAAAACCTCGACTAATTTGGAATTAATGGGATTGGAAGCAGGCAACTTAGACTTAAGGTCACTCTAAACATACGGCCATTATGCACACACAAAGCAAGTCTAAACCATGCAGCATATATTGATCAAAGGATAAGCATTAAAAAAAAAAACCCTGAAAGTTTTAATCTGCTCGAGGTAAATAATACTGAATTACAGGCTGAGTCTAATTATTTAATAGCTACATTCTGTATATCCTAAACGGCAGCCTTTGCAATTTGATCACTACATTGTTCCTTTTTGATTTGAGATCAATTAACTGTTCGGCCGTACTACTTAACCAGCTGACCACCGGCAGCGTATAGAAGAAAGACATCCATGTCATGCTCTGTTTCACATCGCCCATGTAACTGAGACAGTCACTCCATTCACTGCTAAACATGACACCTAACAATGTTAACAATTCTGGCATCTGCCAATCGATCTCCACCGTAGGGATGAGTGAAAACAGCACATCCAAACAGTGATGCCCTCCCTACAGCATTCTTTTAACCATATTAATTATTTAGCAGTTTATCCAGCTAACATGGAGACTTAACTTCAATGCTGGATCAACTCTGGTGTGTTATCTCTGGTCTCTGTGTGTTTATAGTAATTCTAGCAGTGTGTAGACTGCAGAGGAAGCCTTTAAAAGCCTTAAATACACTGACAAAATCAACTATGTTTAGGTATTCTTGTGCAAAGCAGACCTGCTTTAAAATATTTCCACTATTTGTCAAGTTGTACAAAAAGATTATCATTCCAATTTAAAAAAAAAAAAAAAAACACAAACAAACAAACACTGGTCGACTGAAAATAATTCAGTTATGTGCTTTTGTCCAAAGCCACCAAAGTCTTGCAGGAAATGCCACACCCCCCTCAGGTGACATGACAAGTCAGCTGGTGACCTCATGACAGGTTGTCCGTAAACACTGAACTCCTGCTGTTTGCAGGCCTCTTGCTCCACCATTACATAATCATCATCTATTTGAAAATGATTAGAAAACTGTATTGTCGGATCAAAGAGGAAAGAAAAAAACAAAACTGCACAACAAACTCAAAAATGTGCAAACCGCAGAAACAGTGAATACAGAGTAGTCTGCATGAAAAAGACTGCACAGAAGTATCCAGACTCATTCCTAACATGCTCTCTGTATGTACTGCTGATTGAACTCCACAATGGACACTATGTACAAAAGAAAATAAGGAGGAGCCACATGGCAGGTGGCCTCCCGCTCTGGTTTCATTCCACAGTTAAACTGCGATTACTAGCAAGATAACTGAGAGATTTGTACACAAAAATAATGAAAAAAATCGTGGCTAGTTACTAACATTACATAATGGAGCAAGTATGCACAACTCAAGTGTCTGCTCAGTGAAGCCAAACACAGTGGAGATGCTCTGAGCCATACACGTGTTCATTCATCTGGCTGCATTTGGAAGCTGTTGTTTGGTGATGAGCACATACATTTTTATCAATTCCTTCTCCATACAAAGAACCCCCCCCAAAAAGAAAGTGTGATTACCTGAAGCGGGACTAATGGGTCTGCATCCTCTGGCTGCCAGACCTCGACCACGCTGGTGGACATCTGACTCAGAGCTTTGTGGGAGCAACAAACAGTTAGGTGTTGGACTGCTGGAAATTAGGCAACATGGAAAACACAGTCATCCGATATAATAATATTGCAGCCCCTGGTAATATTACTGGTTATTACAAATGAATAAACTGAAACGAGGTGGACGATAATCGAACAGACAAGTGAGGAAATGACTTCGCCTCGGCAGGCTGACAAAGGCTGTTTGCTAGCTGCTTGTTTAGCAGGTTAGCTCGGCGGCTAACGAACTTGGAAAACACATCTCCACTGCTGCTGCAGTAAACACGACTGTGTAGCCGTGCAGCTTTAGCCTTGAACAACGTTTACATTTCTCACAAGGACAGTGGTTAATTGACCATTTAAAGCCTCTACAGTCCGTTACTTTCCTGTCTGGAGCAAGTTGCAGTTTCGTGAAAAACCAAACAGCACAGGGAACTGGCAGCTAGCATAAACTAACATTAGCAGGCTGATAAAACATTGAGCTTCTTCAAGTTAAAAAGCATTAAAATATGCACGAACCACCACTTGAGCATTTATTCAGAATATTCTCAACCTATTTAGACTGTTAAAGAATACGGCTTGTCAGTCATTTTGCAGTGTTTGCTGTCAAGTCAGCCTAGCTAACTTACATTTTTTTTTTTCCAACGGTCGTGTTCACCCCCCGAAGCGGAAAAAAAATAAAGGTGAGCACAAACCTTGCAGCTGAGCCCCTCCGTGCTGTACGCAGGGTAAAAGTAATTGTAGTATTCCTAGTAGTATATTGATCCACGTTTTCCTGTGACAGTGGCTGCCTTGATGGAAGTCCTGTAGCCCCGCCATGCTGCCCTCTCAGCTAGCAGCCTTCCTTGTGTTTCGCTGCGTTGGTCTTTCTTTGCCTCAGCAGGCAGCAGCAGCGGCAGCAGCAGCTCCCTCCCTCCGTCGGTCCCTCCCTCCCTCCCCGCCTGCTCAGGCACAGCGGACAGGGAGGGCTCACACCGGGGCTTCTTCCAGCTGCTGCTGCTGCTGTTCAAGGTAAAAGCCAACAAATTCAAACAAAAAGGCAACATGGAAAGACCAACAAAGTACCCCGCAGTGGTGCAGATGAGTTATTGTGGTTCAGCAAAGATATGAGTTGACTTTTTTCCCCATTGGGAGACTATTTACTAATCACTGTATACTTTTACTGCACTTTTGGTTGAAGACATTTTTTTTGATGCTCTATAGACTAAAACAAACAAACAAAAGAACAACAATGAGCCTGATTTAAGCTGGTTAATCTGTATCAAAAGTAATGTCCAGTCAGACCTACTCAGGATTTACAGGTTCCTCTGTGTGTTGAGTTTAAAAACAAACAAACAAACAAACAAAACATTGGTTTATGAAGCTCAACAGTACATAAAACAGCTATCTCCACCAACTACAACATTTAAACTAGACATGCATATTCATGCAATTGGGATAATAACACATAATATCAACTTTCAATACTTGAGTCACATCTTACAAATAATGCTTGAGAGGCATTTTCACAGCAGCATTTTTTATTTTTAGTGCTGCTACTTTCACAATGTGTGTAATTACTTCCTCCATCACTTACTGGCATATTAGTCGTGTGCTTACACTTTGGGATTGTTATGAATCACCTTTTAGATTTTTACTGAAATGCATTTGGGGGAAATTGTGCTTTCTACTCCACGTACATCTAATTTATTATCTAATCAGTATTTGAATAATAATTACGATAGATACCACACATACACAGTGCTGCTTAAGTGACATTTACGGAACTGTCGCCATACTTGGTGGTCACTGTAACTCAAGTTATGTATGTAAATTTTGAGGTGTTTGCACCTTTTATGCACCAGTTTAGTACTTCTGTTCCACATGACAGAGACATATATGGGACCTTATGCTCGACTACTTACATGCAAGAACTATTTGAAAGATTTAACAGTGAAAAGACGTAGAAGCTTATAAAATATAATCCATTAAGATTAAACCAGAGGCTTCTGATCTTTTTAGTATGTGATCTGTTAGAACAGCTAAAAAGAATATAAAATTATATTTTGAAATATATATTTATAGCAAGATAGGGAAGAAATGCGTACCCACATTTCTTCTTCTTTCCACCCCCTTAGATTTATCTGAGCTTTGATAGGCAGCTGTTGCATGTAAAGCAGCAACTAGCAAGACGTTGATCAGCTTCAGGAGTAAAATGCTGTTCTAATATTGGATTATATAATAATATCTCAGTCTGAAGGGACATTTTATGGCAAAACCACAACTTTTCTGTTAATTTACCTGAGTAGGTAATCTAAAGAATGCTGGACTTTTACCCATTGTCACTCTCACGTCTGTAAATCCAGATCTGAATACGCCTACTGACACTAGTGAGAAACATGTGGAAACGCCTACTATTACAATGCAAATGAGTAAAAACAGGTTTTAAACCTACTTCATAGCAACCCTTAAAAATACATGCGACCAATGCTCTTTATGCGGCAGTTAGGTGTCGCGTATTCGTCTGTGGTGCTGCATTTAGGTGAAGTGAAAGTCTATCGTCTGCCCAAAGTGCTGCATCGTTCGTGTCTTCTGAGAACAAGGCATGTTTGACAAAAGAAGCTGAAATTAGTGCGACTCTAAGTCAACGAGGTAAAACTATGCAGAGTCTTCAAACAGGGCTTTGACATTCAGCATGTCAGACTCGTGAATCACAGGACAGGTCGGGCAGGTATGCACATGAACTTATACTCAGGTTTTTTCTTTTCTGTGGGTGTGTCAGCTCCCTCAAAAAAAAAAAAAAGCATTTAGCATTTTTTGTTTTCAGGATTAGTGTTGCTACAGTCATCAGCGCACTTCAACAAGAAGGTTACGGTTGCCACAATAAATAAATACACATGATGCAAGGACACAAACCTTGCAGTGCTAAAACGGCAATAGGAGGAATTACAAATACAAAACTTTTATTCAGAAAAATAGTGTTTTACTACCAGCTTGTTTTTTTAACAGTTTGCAGAAACAGTAACTTGTGCTGAGAAGTTGCAAATCAACGAGAAATATATTTGCATATAACTCATGCACTGGGGGGAAAAAAAACAAATGGATGAGTAAAGGAAGACAAGTACGAAGCACATTTGAAATTTAAATCAACAAACCCAGACACATTGGCCTTGTCAAGTAGGCCACTGAGCAAACTCACAACACACAACAACCTGTTTTGCATCTAGTTTGGCAGAAAAAAGGGAGGAAAAAAGGCAGAGCGATCATCATTCTAGGCATGTCATGACAACAGTGTTCCTTTTTTTGGTTCATACAGAAAGTGAGTGTGCAGGCCTGAAAGGAAAAAAAAATGCAGTGCTTTTTTTTGAAGGATTTTGTTATGTTCCGGTGGTAATTTATTCAGAAATTAAAGTGAAAGATAGGAGGCCTTTTGTAAACACATGCAGACACTGCAAAAGAATTCTTTTAACTCTAGAAACATACCTGTAAAACTCAGAGGGCCAATTTCTTTGCACCAAAAGAGGTTGTACAGAGAATAAATGTACTTTAAAAACTAAGTATTACCAGCAGAGTACACATAACCTAAACATATCCTCTGTAATCTGCCATCACTCTCAATGCACTTTTTGTTTCTTAAGATTACTGGAAGTTGAAAAACGAAAGAAAAAAGTGCCCGAGTATTTCGTTCCAAACCATCTGTTTTAGCCATAAAAACGAATTCACTGGCAGCACAGATGTGTTAAGCGTTGAGTCATTTCCATCATCAACTTGGAGCTCTCAGTTTTCATGCAAACAGGTGTCCCAAAAGTCCGGCTGCTAAGTTGTGTTCATCACAGAAACCTGTCACCTCGAACAGGCACTAATGGGTCATTCAGTTTCTTCTCTGGTTGCACCAAAGCAACACAGTATCTGCTGATAAAGTCCATCTGCTGCTGCGAAATCACCGTTTCCTGTCCTTATTGAAAGCCCACCCCATGCCATAGACGTGAATCCTGGTGCAATCTTCACTCCAACACACAGAACAGAAACTAGAAATGCAGGGACCAGGTATGTAGGCTTCAAACAGAATCTTCAAAACATATTTTCCCATAAACTGCATCCATGAACTCTGGTAGAAACGCGGGCAGTCAGTCCATGTAGTCGAAGTCCTCAGGGATCCCAAAGGCTTTATTAATGCGGCTGTCATCGTAGGAAAACTTCTTCTTTGTCCACGACTTGATGGCGAACACATTGTCTAAAAACAGGAATACTTAATTAGATGAAATACACTGACGCATCTTCTCATTCAGTGTTACACAGATTTACAGTCTGGGAAAAGCAACACACTCTTGGACTCAAGGATGACGCTTGAGTCCAAGGACAAAACCATCTGCTCTGCTGTTCTGAGGCATTTGTTCGATGTCGGTTTGGTAAAAGTTTGGCCGAAGATTTGATTATTACTTCCTGAGCCCAGCGGACATTTCCCACCAGAGAAGATCTACGGCGGCTGGAAACAATCTGGGTAATTAAGGGGAATCTGACAGGTCTTAATGAGGACCTTAATGAAGGTGAGGCGCTCTATGAGCTTTACGCTACAATTTGATTGTTGACACAAGTGCACCATTATTTTGAAAAGAGATCCGAGTGAGCGCAGATTTAATATTATTTAGTTTTACGGAGCATGTGCGTGAGCTGAAACTGTGGCAATCCTCTAGACAATTTCCTAACTGAGATGTGTTTTTGCTTAGTGAACTCAGTCTTTTGGTTTGTGGGTTTTTTTGTAGTGGGATTTTGACACTTTATTTACATAACTTCACAATATAAGGGATCCGTTTAACATTTTTGACTTGGCGAGTTACTGAACATGAATGCACACGATCCCACAGTGTAATTCTATTTAATTTTTAACTGTTGACTGTGGTGTTAACTGTATTAAGAAATTAAAGTGAGTAAATGTGATGACTTCTGATGCTGAATGTACAATGACAATCAGACATGAAAATAACTAAAACAAACACATAAATATACAATGAATCACTGGAAGTACCAACAAAAAAATAAAATAATAATATAATAATAAAATGTCTTGACTACAGGAAAATGTTTTGGAGGTAATTCATGAGACAATGTTAAAAACTGTGTCATCAGTTTAAAAATCTAATCAAACACATTCATGTTGACTGGCGCCTTTACTATCAGCAGCTTAAGCCAACAAACTCTTACTCACACTAGTAATGGCTTTCACTTCAGTCCTGTGGATCACTAAACTCCACTTTTGATAAGACAAGCGGCTAAATGTGTCAGGGCTTGTGTGGGTGTGTCTCAGGGTCAAGTAGCAACATTCAAAGTTGCACATCATTTTCCTGAAGTAAAGTCTTGAGACTGTAGCTGCAGAAGATTCGACACATTAAGCAGCATTGTTGCTTAAATTTGCAGAGATCTGCTGCAACCTACTAGATGCTGAAATAACAGCGATACAAAACAGCAATGCAGTGCATACTACTGTTAAGAAACAAAAGGTACACAAAAGTGGCAGTCATTTCTTCCCCCAAAACTAGAAGATTTGCAAAGCTGAACTGAATGATAAGACCTGTAAGAACAAGAACAGCAAAGTGTGAGAACATTACAGTGTTCTTGTTCTGAGACAAGGCAGCGCACGCAGTGATAATAAGAAGAAGGAAGTACAAGTTGTGGAAGAGGCAGATAGGACTCAGTTTCTTCAAATGAGTTTAATTCTGAAAGCAAATCTGTGTCAACCAAAACTGCCTGTGTTGACCAGCAACAGGCAATGTTGACCTAAAGAGTCAAAGGACCACAGGCTTTGCTGGTTGCCATGATCCTCAAAGGTCAGCTGTGTCCAGGGTTACTGCTCAGGTCAACAAATGCATACAGAGAGCCTAAGTGTCGACTCCTGGGAGGTAACTGTTAGACACAAAGTGTCTTTACAGCTTTCACTTGTGAATTTGAATGTTTTAAAGGGCAATCAATGGTGTAGGCCCTGCCACTGTCATTCTGAGGTTATTTTTTAACTCAGCACTCAGAGGAACCTGTTCTATACAACAGTGATGTTAAATCCAGAGTAGGTCTGACTGGACATTATTTTTGGATACAGATTAACCTGCTGACATCTTAGGCTCATAGAATTTTTAGTCTAAAGAGCATCAAAAATGTAAAAAGAAAAAAAAAAAGAAAAAAAAAAAAAAATCTTAATCTACTACAATTTCCTTAAGCCCAAAAGATATCAAAAAATGTCTTCAACCAAAAGTATTAATCCCAAAAATATTTAATTTACTAAAGTATGACTATGGCAAGTTAGCAAGTTCTCGCTTCTACGTGAGAAGCTGTAACTATCAAATGTTTTTGCTTGAAAAAAGTGTTGATTTGGTGTCAACTGATTAATGCAGTTTGAATTGAAACTTCTTACATGTGCAAAAAGGTAACTTGACTCACCTGTCCACCTGGAAACAGCTTCTTTCGCAACAACATTTGATTTTCCTGTGAAAAAAAACAAAAACAAATTGTGATCAGTATGTGCATCATACATGTAAAGTTCATCCCTCCATTCATTCACCACAATCAGAGTCAGGTCACAGCAGCAGCCGGCTGAACGAGGGCAAATGCAGTTTTTCAGCAACAAAGCAAATTTCTGTCCTCAAAAGACTTTCAAGGCAACCAACAGAGTCAGTACAATAACATCCCCAGTAAGAGGAAGAGTTCTGCTCAATTATTCTGTGAGAGCATTATGAAAAGTGCCCTGTTACACATGAGAGACAAAAAAACATCAATGTCCTTTTCTGTGTTGTGCTTCATTTCCCATGCTTTGTTTCTTTAATGATCTTTAGCTTTTATGAGCAAGACTCACACACCGTGCATACACAAATAAACCAAATAAAAACAAATATATGCTAAATGTGAGGGCTCGGTTGACGGTTTGTCGTCTCCAGAGAAGAAAACAAGCTGAAACAAGTCTTATAGGTTGAAAAACAAAAAATATACCAGTCACAAAACACTGACAACAAAAGAGAAAAAATACTTCTCTGGCAGTACAGTCAGTGATGTGCTGGTCAGGTAGCTACAATCATGGGTGTATGAACAAGTGGGGGTTTCCTACTAAATGAAAGTGGACACTTTAGCCTCTCTTCACTGACTCAAACAGCTCATCGACTATAGAAACCTGAAATAGAGCCGAACAATGTGCAGTAACTGAAGAGTGCTCTACTTCTGCGTGAAATGTCTGGTGGCCCGTAAAACTAATCCTAAAACAACAGCAGATAACATCATTAAGTCTTAAGGCACCTGGAATAATCACTTTACCTTTTACCAGAAGTTAAAAATAACCTTTTGTTAATTCTGCAATAACTATCCACAGACACTGGTTTGGCGGCTGCAGGGCCACGGCTGCCTTAAACGCAGCCAATATAAACTATTTCAGGCAAGGTTTACAGCAGGATTGGAGCATTTCTCTATGATTTGTCCTTTATGAAAACTGGAAAAGATCCAGAGCTATTGTTAAAAGTGTCTGGTAGGATCGTGAGAATACGTGGCAAACATTGCCTGGGCCTGTAAGGGAATCAAAGACTTTTTCCAGCATACATTAATTACGCAACAGTGAAGACAAATGTTTTATTCGTTAAAAATAAAGCCAAGTGGGAGGAAATGAATTAGGCAACTTCTGACACAACTCGTGGGTCCATTGTGCAAACCTTTTCACCCAACATCCAGACCTGCCAGCTGTTCTGACTCACTGATCTTTTGACTTTTCATTTGCTTACCTACCCAAATGATTATTGTATATTTGGCAGGGATAATGCTTATTGATGATTCAAACAAGCAAACTGTAAATAAAAGTCACAATTAACTTAGAATACTGGATTTTATCTGAAGAAAGCAGCCTAAACATTGAATATATACATACATACACATGGAAAAGACGAGATAATCACTGTTTCTTCAGTAGACAAATCATTTAGGATTGAATATTAATTCAATATGGTTATAAAAAAGATGAAGGTTCAACTTTCTGTCTCCTCTTAAGGTGTCATATCAGTCATGCACGACCATTCTGTGATTTTTTTTTTTTTGTTGCCCTACCCATGTTTGGTTTTTAACCATGCCTGCTATCACAACAGCTTAGAGGTAGGCTTAAAGGTGTGGCAAGCATTGTCAAACATTTTGACCTACTTATTCTCACATAAATCATAACCTTGTCTGTTTGTTTTGTCGCGTGCACCACCAATAGTTTTTGAAGTGGTAATTACAGTGAGCACGACTGTGTTTTTGAAACGTCTTTGCGTTTAATCTAATGAGAGAAATGACACAGTGACTCCAGCCCACAAATGTGTTTAAATGTTGATTTCTGTCTGATTATTTGGTGGTTTCCATCCCACCTGTTGCCACAACAGTATACAGGCCTGCATGGGTGTGGCAGCTATTTACTCAAAGATACACAAGAAAGAAGACATGAATCTAACACACAATGTACACTTTAAGTTTTGTTTTTGTAGCTCATGTTCATTGTTGGTTGTGTGAATGTGGCAATATGTTGAAAAGTGTGAGGACATTATAAAAACAAACCAATAGGTAGTTCCAAATAGACTGTTGGTCTGCTTTAATGTGAACAGAGACACGGTGTAGGAAGTAAATCATGCTATGAGATACCCTACTTCTGATTCTTGAACAAGCAACGACAGACACAGTATGAACCAGCTGCCATTTCATCATTTCTGAGCAATTCTGATGATCATTTTACATCCTTCCACAAAATCCTTAAAAAAAACCCAACACAGGCAGTACATTACAACATCTGCAATAATGCTGTAAGCTGAGAAGTCTTAACAGACGGCCACCTTGAGATGCTCTCTGAACCTCAGAGTATCATGTTTACAGCTTCCCTATAAGCAGGAACAGGTCTGAGCCCATTCTGCAAGTTCAGTCAAAGCCCCTTCAGCGACAAACATAACACAATGTCATACACTCAGCACATAGCTGCTCTCAGAGTACAATCCAAGCTTCGGTGAGTTGAGATGGTTATCTGTAAGAAAGCTCTGTGTGTGTGTGTGTGTGGTGAAGAATGAACAAAATCAGACCTGTAGGCATGTGTAGTCACTTGTAATGTGAAAACAAAAGGCACTGAAAGGAAAGGCAGTCCTTTGATTTATCTGTTGAACTTCAGATTTATCAGTTATCTGTGATAATGATGTACCAATATTAAATTCCAGGGATGATAACAATAACAGGTAACTGATTGATAATGTTTATTAAAATGTCAAGAGGAAAATAAACATACCTATTTTTTTGGACTGAGGAAAGTTATTTCTATCGTACAACACCAATGTTTAGAAAGTCTTCACCATACATAGAATGAGATGAAATGAGTGTAAATGTGTTTAAGATGACAATAGATTATGTCTGTAATATGCAGAGTAATCAACACCAGACCTGATCTTCTCGTTGACACACATATGAAAAAGTGTTTTGATAACTTCACATACTCTTTGTCTAATTAATAATTAGGACTTTAGATTTAAACTTAACAGAAGTCAACAAATCCTCAGACACAGTTAATTATACTCAGTCGTTGCCTAAAATCACTTTCAACAGATTGCTGTTGAAATCATGTATGTGTGTGTATAATATGGCAGCTGGGAATGAAGAGAGGCGGCCATAGAGGGGTGTTCAGAGACGTTTCTGTAAGGGGGTTGATAAATTGCTCATACCATCTCCTCTTAGTTCCAACATGAATAAAAAATATTGTTTTTGTCGCCTCAAGTAAAATATACCTCAAAGAGGAAGTATAACACTTTATGCTGTACACACAATCACTCACAATCTGTCATATCATGTTGATATAAGTGACTTTTTGAGCAAAATTTCCACTGCATATTTTTTTTTCTGGCCAAATTTGGCTTTTATCTGTCTGCTTGGATTTAGGGGCCAATTCTCTGGCTACTCTCTAACAGCGACATAACAGGTTTCTACCTGGATTGTGACTAATTCAGGTTTTTGAAATCAGAATATATACTAACGCAAAAACAAGGACGTTCAAAACATGCTTCTATCTTCTATTAAGAAACGACAGTCAAAGCTCCACCAGACTCCCTGACGCTTTAGCAGAAAAGCTTAAGAGGAATGTGTCTTAGTGATACACACTCAGTTTAAATCCTGTCTTCATGAAGGTTAATGTTCAGGTTTTGTTTTAGACAGGTGGGGATGCAACTGTATGGTCCTTTTGAAGGATGTGGTTTGCATTGCAGTTGAATTGAATGAGATTATATACTGTGAGGCGTTTCTGTTATTTAGCCTCCACTCAGTGATATAAATAGGGTGGACAAAATAAAAGAAACACCTGTCAGTGTAACGCAATACAGTTCAGCAGCACCACAAACTGCAGCCTCCAAAATCACTGTGCAGTTAAATCAACACTTTTCCAAGACAGTTTTAGCAGAATTATATATGAAACACAAATATATCAACATCCTAACCTTCATTAAGGCAGGAATCACTGCAGCCCAACTGTGTTAGACTGCATTAGTTTTAGATGAGTCTGTCTAATAACCTGGCAAGTGATGCACTAAGTTAAATACTCAATATACTGGATAGTTCTGAACAAGATGTCCAGCTGCACTTGACAGAGTGCTTCTATAGACGCCTCTGATCTATTCTCGATGACAGAGGCTCTTCATGGGGATGTGACCTTGATTTAATTTAGGGCTGCAACTAACAGTTATTTTTATCATCAGTTAATCATTGGGTCTATAAAATGTCAGAAAACAGTGACAAAAATTCCATCCACCATTTACCAACATAACAAAACTTAAAAACCCTCACTTTTCTGTCACAGGAGTCTAAGACAACAAATATTCACATGTGAAACCTAGAATGTGTGAATATGTTTGATTGTCTTGCTTTAGTCTTGATTATAACTTGATGTAATTATGGGATGGCTGTACGTTTTACCTTTTAGCTCACATGCAATTGCAGAAATCACTTTTTGAAATTTCAAATAATTTTCAAAAAAGCAGGTTATTCACAAATCACCTGTCTGCATGTCGGTGTGACTGTCATTAAAAGAGACAGTATTGCCACAGTGGAGTGGAAAAAACCCAGCCGAGCCGTGTGCACGCTGAATGCAGGGCTGGTGTAACGTTGGGAGGTGCAGGTAAACAGACCAGATATTTTTATGACACCACACATGTCACATGGGCAGATAAAGTAACACACCCCCTATACCACAGGTCAGCTGTAACATGAACACAAAGCAGTCTAGGATTTTTCTAATACCATCAATAGCTGCATGCATTGTGAAGCCATTTCATGGAATGAGGTGTGTAACAGCCAGTAAAGAAGTCATGTCCTGTGGCCTTGTCTTGGCGGTTTTAAAAGTTTATAATACCATCCCCGTAAAATGAGAGGTCAGAGGTTCATTTAGCTTGCAATTAAAACTGACATTCGAGTCTTAAGACAAAGATACCTCCGTTACAGCAGGAAGTCTTGCTCTCCTCACACTTGCTGTCTTGTATCTATGTCTGTGGTCGAAGCTGATATTTTAAAACAACCTTAAAACTGCATGTTAAGCAACTTGTGGTCAGTTTTTCGCTTCCTCGCGTTTGATTTTAACCGTGAGAATCTGAAACCCTGCTGCTAAACAGACATGTTTGTTCTCTGCAGTGGAGTCAGAGAAGAGCAGAGCACGCCATAAAATACACACTGTGACATCTCGCTCTTTAACGCCGGCAGATCAGCTGTCAGGCATTTGTACTCATCATAAATGTGGTCATGTGTAGGCTTTAGAAATGATCCTGAGTCCCAACATCACTTAAACGCATTTGAATGCATTCACACCTTATTTCGAGCTGTCTGAACGTCCAACATCATTCAGTAGAACGAGTGAGGAGGAAATATGAGGGTGTAAAATATGCTTTGCCACATCTTGCTTATGTTTAACTGTGAGTAGGTGCTTTTGATTGGAAGCCAAGTTCAGTGGAGGACTGGTTACTGGAGGAGTTCTCTGTTATCATTTCCATTAAAGTAACTGTCTTTGTGTTGAATCATTGCTGTGCTCAACAGCTAAAAAGAGGGTGAAAATTCTTCATGTCAGCCAACCGCACCAAAGTCTTATTTGTATCGCCCCAATATCCAACATCGTGTGGGAGGTTACACTGAAATAATCCAGCTCCAACTGCACTATTGTGTTTGTTATCTGGTGTGAAACCACTTATTCACGTCAGGCTGAATACTACAGAAGCCTCTCAAATGCTGGATGTTGCCCAACTCGTTCCTTTGCCTCGCCTTTTAATCAGAGATCCTCACTGTGTGCAAAACAGTCCCATCTGCATTGAATAGCCACCTGATGTGAGAATCCAGTGCTCCATCTTATTCTTTCAAGAGCCTAATTTTGTTTGTTAAGATCAAAGCTTCTAACTACAATGGCTCACAGTGCGGCTCGAAGCTTATTAACACCTGGATATTGACACAAAGAACAAATGAGCTCGTTTGTTCATCAGAGAGACAGCAGTTGATTAAATCTTGTGGAAAAAATATTTATTAACCAAATAAGGGCTTGAATAGCACTCTGCAGTGACCTGCTTTGCTCTTCAAGTCCTTCTCTAATTTAATTGGACATTGAATTCAGGGTAACTAGAAAAATGTAAACCTTTGTATAATGTAATCTGATAGTCCTGCAACACAAACCTTGTCATAAAACGGAAACAGAGAACTAAGAACACACTCCAAACACCAACTACGCCCTAAAAAAGTGACTACACAGTTAACTCAACATGCTGTCAGTCAGTAACTGTGGATGGTGTGTTTGAGGCAAAAAAAAATAGATAAATGTTTTAAAATCTGTCAGGTGTCATGTGTACTCACTCATCTCCTCCACTACTTCTGGGTCACACTCTCGGTATTTCTCCAGCTCAGCCTGCAGCTGCGTTCGCTCCTCTCTCAAAGCCCCCACTTCCTTCAGCAGAGAGCTTCTTTCTTTCTACACACACACGCACAAATACATATTTTGTAATGTGAAACTCGTTTTATTTCATTCATTTTAGTTTGAATATTTGTGACATTGATGAACATGTTCTTACTGTATCTTGACGTCCTACTTTGGCCTTTTCAACCGCCTTCTCCAGAGACACTTTGCGCTGCTTTAATTCAGAAATCTTTTAAGAACAACAGAGTTACGTTAAACTCACACGATACATTAACACCATTAACAGATAACTGAGTTTTCCTGAAACAAAATCAACTTCAAAATATTGAAAAATGACCGAGACCAACAAATAATTTCTTGAAACAAATCGACATTAGAGCTAACATGGCTTTTGTAGCCTTTGACTGCAGTGTTTTGAGTTAACGGAACATAACAGTTCGTTACTGTATCTGACATTAATGATTCACCTGCATTCATACAAAATTACAGTGCTGTTATATGATAAAATTAATTTGTTAATAAGAAGATACTGTATTGTAATATGTCTGTAAATTGCAAACAATTATTTGTCTTTTTATTTTTTTGTCTTAACATGAACCACACACATTTGCGTTGCTGCGTAAAATGGATGTATAACGATATTATCTACCGGCTGTGGTATCTCACCAACGGCTGCATATTGTCACACGTATTGCACAATCAGACGTGGTTATTTAATGAGAGCTTGCTGTTTTTTAACTTCTGCCCCAGAAATCTGGTGGCTAACGCTCTCTGAGGAGGCGCCACCCTCACACCATCTGTCTGCCATGCAACAGGGGAGGGAAGTGGGTCATCACTGACATTCAAAGATGAGCGCTGGAACTTTCTTTGACAACACATCTCTCACAAACGTACAACGTTATAGATTTTTAATGCTCATTAGGGTTTGCTTTTATTTATTTTAACCTCTGGATTTTAATGGTTATTTTGAATAATCAAAAGGTAAAAATGGCTAATAAGAAATATTTACAATATATATACTTTTTTTTTTTTTTTTTTTTTTAACATACTCTTGACAAACTCTTGGTTTTTATCAGCAGCTTATTTGTGTTTTCTTTCTGTTTTGTTTTAATCTCCAGTACACAGAAGCATTTTCTAGGCCATGTTTGTCGCATGCTGACCTCATTACTGTAAACAACAGTGTCCTCTTAAACCAGAAAACACAGCAACCTTGTGGGAAACTAAAATCTATCTTCTCCTTTCCTAAAATATAGGTTTAGTATATGTACTGGGTATAGTATGCATAGGTCGTGTGGATCAGACTCAAACTGACGCTCACCTGTTTTTGCAGCTCTTCCAGTTTGTGCTTGCGAGTGTTTAAGGCCTTACTGGGAAAGGCCCAGTAGTAGTTGGACGTACCAACTCTTTCACAGTCCACCATGTTGTCATCAACCAGGCTCTGCAGCACATCCTTCACTGTCATGGGAGCTTAAAACAGCAGAGAGGGGAAAGTACACGTTCCACAATAAAATCATTAATTTTCCATCCTTTTATTGCTTTGCAGTGGAGTTAAAGCTATTTGCGGATTTGTGATTCGGTTTGTGGACAGCTGATTTATGGTGGAAGCAGGGCTAGTACAAGCTCAGCAGATCTATTTGGAAGTAAAATATTGCATCCTACTCAGGGTTTCAAAAGTACAAGTCATCATCAGGTCTCTCTCTTTTTTTTTTTTCTTTTTTTTTTTTTACTGTTGGCAAGGTATGCTACTCAAATGTTCACAAAACTAAACCCACACATCTGCAGCCTATCTGGCCGTTTTCTACTTATCTGAGAGAACATTGCATGAGAGGATGTAATAGAGCAGGAGTTACATCTTGAACAGTGTCAGCGGTGAAATGTGATACTCCCACACGCTTCGCTCAGCCGGTCCACTGTGAAACTGAAAGAGCTTATCTGCTGAGAGGATGTTGAACAGCAGCAAAAAATAGGATTGGCAACGAGGATTGAAAATGAGAAACACACTGGATGGATTAAACAAACTCTGTATGTGTGCATTGTCTCTTCTCTGTTCAAACAGCTTTCTGCCTTTTTTTTAAAACTTCAAACTGCCTTTTTAATGGTTACCAGTATGGTATTACCACTCTTTTTTTTAAAAACTTAGCTGAGATCACTTCCTTGGCCCCTTTTCTCACATTTTCTCTCCTTTTACAGGAAAATGTGCCCACAATGCAGATCTCTTGTTGCCCCCTTCCCCCCATCACTCAGTAACTACATTATGCCCAAGTACGGGGGTCAGAAACATGTGCTTTTAATCACAGCAACAAGATCCAGTTTCTCCAGATTAACGTTTTGTCCACTTAAAAACAAATCCCTCCACAGTTCAACTCAAACACACTCGACACAGTTTCGCTCGTCTGGGCGCTCGGGCACTTAAAAAATCCACGTTTGTATTTTTATAAATGTTCCCATGGTACTCGTAATGTCAGGCTCTGGGCTGACGTACGTCGAGGGAACATATTTTACTTAGGAACCAAAAGCTTTCAGCAGTTCTCTGCACTGTGAGATGACTGCTATTGATAGGTCTGGTTCTGCTTATACAGACTAAATACAGTTAAAATGGCAATAGCAAGTCCTGGTTGCCATGGCAATCCTGTAAGCATGTCACCACAGTGCTTTCAAGAATGCATGAGAGTGCGACGCTTGTTGACGCTGTCGGTACAGGCCCTGCAAAGAAACTAACTGTATGCTATTTAAAGAAGCGCTAATGGTAATTGATGGCTAACATTATCCCATTTGTTACTCTTGCAGCATTTCTTGTAGTTCTCTTCGCCTGCTATAACTATTATTAATCACCCGCTGAGAAGAAAGAAAGAAAAAAAAAAAAAACCCACCAGAAGATTTACTGCTGCTCTCGCTGTTATATTTATGCCCATTTTACAAGTCTTGAATTTAGCACATATGGTGTATTTCCTTTTATTAGTTTGTTTATTTACGTTCTTTGAGATCAGATGAAATATGAGGCCAATGTGGTAACTGGCTCTAAACCATGCAAACATAATTAAATAACAGTATGATCGATCAAAATAATTTGTCTTTTCTAAAAAATAAAGAGAGGCGTATCTATGAACCTTTACACTGGTTTCATTTGTTCAGCTAGTGGGAAAACATGAAAAACAAAAAAGGACCGAACATTGTTTTTCATGCAGGCAGCACACTTGAACACTGAAAAATGCACAAGTAATGATATTTCTTGTGTAAAACTGTTGATCATTACTCACCTATGCCTTTGGTCTTAGGTGCAATCTTCTCAATGTCTTTCAGCTGAAACACATCTTTCTGGTAAGAGAGTGAGAGAACATGTTCAAGGAATTGTTGTCAGCATTCTGTCACACAGACAGGAAGTATTTAACAGCCATCTACATCTGTATCTTTGCTTCACTTTATTCTGGCTTTCTTGAGGTTAATACACCTTCGTAGACATAGATAACTTGATTTATACAGGAGCACAACGTTGCTCTTTTCAGACATTTTTATGCAGAGTTTACCTGTTTTAGGAATCGTAGAAATGTTACATTTCCATTACCTTTACTGGCCTGATTTAACTACAGTACTAAAATGTTGAACAACACATCGTTTTTTTCTGCATTATATATATTTAATATTTTGCTAAATTAATTCCTGTTAATTAAATTCATTTAAATTAAATTAATTTTAAATGAATGTATTTGTTTAGCATGGAGAAGTATGAAATTTAAAAGGTCAAAAATCTGGAGATTTAAATACTTAAAGAAATTAATTTACACTTAAATAATAATCCATTCATAGCACTGCCTCGTTGTCATTGCTGGGCTGTTCATTTGTGTGAAGACTTTATGTGATTGTATATGTGTGTGGTGTGTGTGTGCACCAAAGAGAAATTCAACCATAAACTGACAAAAAAACAACCTGTTCTGTATCTGCGGCAGTTCTAGAAGCTAGAACACAACCCCTCCCCTGTGACCATTTATGCCTGGGTAGTAGTTTGCATGTTAGCTTTCATCTCCTTCCAAAAAGTGGGCAGCATAAATCAATAAGAGCAACTTTAAAGCAATACTCTTCTTTTTCAGAATGTGTTTAAAAATGACAAAACAATGACTGAAGTGAATATTTATTAGCTTTTAAATCTATGCGCTAAGAGTATAATTGAGATAGCAGAAAAGGGACATTAAAGCTGTGACATTTATTGTACAGATAAGTCATGTGCAAGACAAAAACTCACTGAGTCAAAGAAAATTTCCATCATGCGAGTCCTCTTCTCCTCCAAGCTTAGTCCTTTCTTCTTCGACTGTAACAGAAAGACGACTAAATCACAAAACAGTAACATGTAAGGGGCAATAAAACAATGTATGAGGGGTTGATTGATGGAGTCCAATTCATGTTGTCCTGAACTCCTGTTATGTGCTTGCAACTACAAAAGGAACAATTTACATTGCAACAGAGCACGTTGAAAATATCCAATAGTCATGTGGACCAATGATCCGACCAGTGATTTCTATACTGTATATTTTAGAGCTGCAACAATTGATCACATAGTTGTCAGCTATGAAATTGATCACCAACTATTCAGATAATCCCCTCATCAGTTTGGGTATTTTTTCAAGAAAAAAAAAAAAAGCTAAAATGTGGATTCTTTTAAATATTTGAATATATTCTGACTTCTTCACTCCTCTGTGACAGTAAACTGAACATCTTTAGGTTGTGGACACAATAATTTGAAAAGGCTAATCTCCTCTGTTCTCCTGTCTGTGACCCGGAAATCGATCTGGGCGCGCCATCATGACAGATGTCTCAATTCCTATAATGCAGGAAAGAGGATAGAGTATTGGCAAGGGTTGATGGATGAGCTGTGAGAGGGGATGTACAGGCATATCCTTGATGTGGCCTTTGTGGAAGTCTTTGTCAAACACATGACATAAAAGTGGTGTGACACACAGCTGGAATATAAAGACTATGTTGGGGCAGGACTGACAACAACTGTATGGATGTAATATATATCAACACAGTGTCAGGCTGTAATAAAACAATGGACATATGTGCCATACGTCATATTCAAATGGTGTTGCTTTTAAACAAGGCAAGTATGTCTCATTATCTTAAACCATACTGCCTCAACTCCTTTAACCTCGTTTCTTTTCCTTACCTCCTTCACTCGCATCTCTAGGATACATGAAAAGGGCACAAGGAAAGAAACCAAGTATGTGCAAACTGAGAAATGACATGAGTGGATTCTTTTGGGATTCGGGAAATAATGGTCAACATTTTTCACCATTTTATAGACCACACAACTGACCATTAATTAAGAAAAATAACCGACATGTTAATCAACAATGAATATGATCATTAGTTGCAGGCCTGTGGCTCATCTTATTTCACTAATTTTATCCTTCCTGTCGCCTCTGTCGTCCATCCTCCTGCCCAAATGCATGTAACAAATGTGTGTAAAACACAATCTCTCATTCATAAAATATGTCACTTGTTATTTGTGTATTACTCATTTGTACGCCATGGCTCTTTTATACTTCCCTGCCCATTTGAGTTAAATCAAAATGAAAAAAACAACATTGTTTTCACATTATGCCATGATGTGAATGGATTTACGAGTAATTATATAGCCTACTGTAAGTCATCATAATCACTGTTCTATCCATCTGACAGATCTCCTAAAACACGGTGGTAGGCCGTACCAAAACAATGGAAAGATGATGCAGTTATACAACACGTCATATTTAATTGGCGCCGCTTTAAAAAATCAGCTCCAAGGCATGTATGTGTCATTTTGTTAAATGCATGTTGCCTCGCCTCCTCCGCTCACATGGCTGGTGGGAGGAACTAGGACATGAGGAGAGGAATTAAGGACGCACAAACTGAGACATGAGAAGGATAGGTCATGTTGGGCTTTAGGAAACGCTGTTCAGCATTTTTTAAAATCACTCTATGACATTTTATAGAGCAAACAACTGATCAACAAGAAAAAAAAAGTTAGTTGCAACCCTAATATTCTGACTGCCCGCCTCCATCGGTGTTTTTGTAATACGGCCTCCATCCACTAGTGGCAGCACTGAGCAGCACACCAGCCTCACAGAAGAAGGTCAATACGCGCCATCTTGGAAAGTTTTACTTGAGTTTGTGGGATAATATGAATTATCTTGGTCGGACTGAATCGCAATTTTGTTTATCTATATTGGCCTGACAACTCCATATTTTCTGCCAATAGCTAAATGAGAAGTCCATCTCCTCCACATTTCTTTCATATTTCCATTGGTCCTCTGTAAAGTAACTTAAAAAGCGCTGAATATATGAAGTGGTCAAGTTACACGGGTAGTGATTCAGGACTGAAAGGTAGTCTGAATGACTGCTACACGTAACGCCAGCTTAGTAGCACTTTTCTAAAATTATAGTATGAATAAACCTTGTGTCTTAACCGGGTGCCGCAGAGTGTTGACGGTAGCGTAACAAACAGCTATGCTAAGAGCTACCGTACAGATAGTAGCATGTAGCTACATGAGCGTCTACTGTGTCCACAGCAACACCCGCTAAACAGCAGGACAAAACGAACATTTCTTACCATTTTGCGACGTAGCCTCTACCTAAAACGCACTAACACAGACGTATGTAGGCAATTTAATATATTATGGCGCTGTTGTGGTGTTTTGTAATCCAAACAAGAGAGAATCGTTCAGCTAATACCGAATTTCCCGCGGAAGGCTGTCACTTCGTAATGCTGCATTCACTGATCCTCGTAAACGCCTCGTTTCTACTGACAAGTAAAATTAGCACGAGTTGTGTAACTATCTAAAGTATTTGAAATCGTTCACGGCATAGCAGCGTAAATACTGTAAAAATAAAAATAAAAAAGGTGCAAATAATGTTAATTATAGGGATAAACTGTGCGAGTAGAGATGCAAAAGTTTTAAACTACCAACCAGTCCAGCATTCCCTCAGTTTGTTATCTATTTATTTTCTTAAAATAACTGTGCTTATGTGTGTTTAGTTTAAAAGCGACTACACACCTACATAATGTGTGCTATGGTGTCTTGTCACAATTAGTTTTTGTTTTTTTTTAGTATTAGAAATGATAAAAAAAATAGAGCCACATCTACATTACACACTCTGAATCAGTTAAATATCGCTGCTTTCACACTCCTGAATATCAGATATCAAATTACTGCTAGATATGATGTGAAAACAAAATGTGTTGACCAGTTTTTGGAGTCGTTAGTGTCTTGTTGATGTCCGTCCTATTTATTTCCGACTTCCCGGGAAGGCAGCATTCCTTCAACGATGTCGTTTAACTTCACTTCATGACTATGTGTCGCCCTCTGCTGTCTAATAAAACACATTGATCACATACAGAAGCTACAGAAGAATAAACAGCACTGAGAATAAGAAGCTTTCATGGTCAAAAGTTTGTTCGGATTCCTTCAGGTCTGCTGCCTGTGCAGAGAGTCATCCATGTAAGAAGAGCATCAGTTAATATGCTGCTGTGCAGAAATACAAGTGTTCATCTGCAGTTGCAGGGATTAGAAGAACAACAGGGATCCTGTGATCCTATAAAGATTTTTAAAACTATTTCTGACATGATTCTCCTCATAATGTAATCAGCTTATTGTAGTAGTTGCATTGCAAAGAGTCAAACACAGTACTCTTTTCTATGGGCACTTTAATTCCATTTGGCATTACAAATATAAACAAGACAATGGAAAACAAATAATTTTTACAGGATTGTGTAGAAAATGGATGACCACATTGAGGATAACAAATAATGACAATTGTGTGCTTGAAGACAATGTCTGAACAAGGCTCAACAACACACACCTCAACTGTTGAACTACGTATTGCATCTTTTTTTGTTGTTGTTGTTTGTTTGTTTTTGTGAAGATAGACAAATTATTTCTGCTAAAATACAACCTGTTAGTGGTTCTACGGTTTATTTTAAAGACATAAGAGCACATGGAGAGGAGTGAAGGTGATCACAGTTCGGATGTTGTGAAATTCAACCTAAACCTTTCAGATGAAGACAGATGCACCCTACTGAGTTTATTTTTCAAATTCTGCAAGAAACTCGAAGTTGTTTGCACATAATCACAGCAGATTGTAAGTGGAAATGTTAAGAGGTTTCATACACACCCAAACACACAGGTGCAAACACACCTACATGGCAGAAGTGAGCGTATCAGATGGCTTATGTTTGGTACCTTAATTAATCACAACACACAATCACACTTGTCTTGCACACACAAACACACACTATGTGGTTCTGTTAAACCAATTAAGTCATCAGCTTACTGCACTGTAATTTAGAGTGACGACATACTGTAGATAACATTGAATAGTTGTTTGCACATATAGATAGAAGTATTGTAATTGAACCAGTGCCTCCATTGAAAGATTCACGTGATGATGTTTTATATATTGTGCACAGTAGCTTCTCAGGTGTTCGTTAGTAAAAACAGCATGCACAGAGATGCCTAATCATGCTTGAAAATACCCTGCTACCTACATTAGGTGAACACACTTTTCTCTTATAGTGAACAGGCAAAATGTGAGGACTCTTAAGGGCTTTTAAAGGAAGCTTAAGTTATTGTCACTATGAAAGGATTTCCATTATTTCTTAGGTAACTAAGGTACTATTTACTTTAATATCAAACTCATTTCACACAGTGTCCAGCCAGTTTGCTTTAGGAACAAGTGCGTTATTTTCCAGTTTTCTGCCACGTGATGAGAAATCAAAAGGTCTACCATATGTACAATATTAAAGCTTCATTTTTGAAATGAGCACAGTTAAGATGGAATGTGAAAAAGGTTCTGAGTGACTCCTGAAAGCACCAGTGAGCAGCAGCCGTCTGAATGTCTGAGATCCTCTCGCTTCACCGCAAACGATTCTCTGTGTTGTTTCTTCAGCGGCACGGGGGTCAAACGCGTGGAGGACAGGATGGCACGATGACAGCGCGATGCAAGGATGAATGGGTGAGTGGATGAGCGCAACATCTTCCAGTCCATCCATCCTAGCGTGTGTGTGTGTGTGTGTGTGTATATAGGTATATATACACTGTACAGGTTGTGCATTGAGAGGAGAAGGGCTACTGCAGGTAGCGGTAGACTTTGAAGCAGTGGTTGCCAGAATCAGCAACCACAACATGTCCATCAGAGGTGAGCGCCAGTCCCTGTGGGCCATAGAGCGGGTCTGCTGATGTGTTGATGTAAGACAGGAACGAACCGCTGCCATCAAACACCTGACACAGAGAGAAATGTCGTCAGTGTTGTGTTTATATTTGTATTACGAGGAGATGATTTGTCTTTCACTGCATTTGGATCTTCTATAAATGATATGTAATCACAGAGAACACAAGAATCACATCTTGTAATGTATTTATTTTTAACCCTATTCAGGACTTTTGGGGTCTTTTGGACCTCAGACCATTTGGTTTAGGTGACAGGTATTGTTTTTTATTTGTGAAGACTTTTTTTAAAATATTAAAAGAAGGACATCTGTCATGCAGTTAGAACCAAAAATACATCAACCTATCAGAAAATGTATTTAACATAGCACAAAAGTCTATAATGAATACCAACAAATATTTTGCACATATTCTTTCTTGGGGTCCAATGGACCCAAAAGACCTACATTTGGTAACATGAAAGTTAATGAAGTTAGACTCCCAAGTTTAAATTAGATTTTTTTCCTGTACATAAATATTAGCAAAACAGTGTTGTCTTGGCAACATTATATTAAAAAGTAGGATATCACATAGTAATATAACATGGCAATAGATTTAGTAAAAATCTACATTCAAACTAAATCTCTGACATTGGATCTGCAAGATATAGAAATTAACCATCACTGCATACTGTAACTCAAACGTCTTTGAATCCTGTATAATAGAACACAGCAAACTCTACTTATTCTTGTCTTTTCTTTAGACTTGAGTGGATGTGAGACATCTTGTAGTTTTGCACTAACCTGTATCCTGCTGTTGCCCCAGTCTGCTACTATAATGTTTCCGTTGACATCCACTGCCACTCCTGTGGGGGCGTTGAACTGGCCGTTGCCTTCGCCATTAGAACCAAACTTCAGCAAGAATTCCCCTTCTGTGTTGAACACCTACATTTTCAAGGAGGTAACAGAAGAGAGGGAATGTTAAAATGACTAAAAATAAAACAAAACTTTGCACCTTTGTATGCAAACAGTTCATAACATACAGTAATTGTATCAGCACCTTTTTGGACATGCAAATTCAACACTTGTAATAAACGTCAGACTTTTAATCTCCTTAATTTGTCATGAAATAATAAGGAAACGGCAGCCGGACATGAAACTGTTTTTCAGTCAATTATCCAGTTACTTTTGAGCCTGTGCAAATGTGGCCTGTTATTCCAAAACAGTTAATACGATACTTTTTATGAAAGTCTACAGATATTCATGTCTTGATTGCTTCATTTTGAATCCCCTCTGGTGGTGCACAGATGCAAAATTACCAAAATTGTGGACTTAACTGTAATTTGTGTCTGATCATTTTTTCCCAGAGAAGCTCAGTGATCTATCTGTTTAAGAAATCTTGAAAGCATATCTACTCTTTGACAAAATACAGACTTTATGAATATGCAAATACTGCTCATTTAAAAACTTCTGAACATAAAATGTCTCCCACTTCACTGAGACTTCCATGTTACACTTGTGTGAGTTGCAGAGTAGACTATGATGGTTTCTAGACTGACCAGAACTTTCCTAACTTTCCCCCTTTAAACAGTAAATCTAAAAACAGCCTTTCCAGCATGAAGCAAACAAGTAAAGTAACAAAAAGAACACACTCTGCCTGGAGGGCCCTTTAAGGGTTCACTGTTGGACTTGCACCCAGTGTACCTGTAATACACTTTGACTGCTCCGATATTGCACTTACTTTGACTGAGTGGTTGTGGAAGTCTGTCACAATGATTTCATTGTTGTTGTTGACAGCAGCAAAGTGAGGGCCTGGATAAATAAAATAAAAAACAAAGGGTTTCAGACATGTGTCATTTGTCAAATTCTGCTCTTAAAACAAAAGAAACAGAGTTCAGCAAACTTTGGGATGGCAGATGTTTATGGAAGACATGCAGCAGCCAGAAAAAAAGTATGATTACGTTTATTACACTTAAATTAAGTATACTGTCAAAAAGATTGTAGTAAGATATGAAGAGTTCATTTGCAAAAACAGATAACTCCATCTTCACAAACCTACAGAAAACCAACTTTTCCATCATCTACCTGAGACAATATCAATCAAACTTAAGTTATCTCTATTTTTGTCGTGTCATTTCTGCTGATTCAAATCCACTCAACTTCAGTTTGATCAATATTTTCTCAAGCAAACAGCAAATCTATAAGTTTTCTGAAAATCTACAAAAATGGAGTTATCTGTGTTTGCAAATGAACTCTTCATATACACAACATGATCAACAGGACATTATGCTGCTTTAAGGACACTTGAGTTAATCATGTATGTAACGACCGATGCAAAGTTAAAAAGTCATCTCTACATTCATGACCTATTTACGAGCTTCTATCTCATCTGCAAATGTCGGAAAACTCAGAGTCCACGGGAACATGGGGTCTTTATGGTTCCTGCTTTGGCAAACGTCTTCATTCCACATGCGGGTGTGAGCTGGTTGGAGAAAGACTGTAAGGGGGCAGTGCACAGTATTACCATTGAGTGTACCTGCAAACTGCCTGTCACCGTTGCCACGGTTACCGAACTTGGTGACCAGCTTGCCGTTGACCTGAAAGATGAAGACGCAGCAGGCCTTGTTGTCGACCACGATGATGTGTCCGTTTCTGTCCACCGACACGCCTTTAGGGCCCATCAGCTTCCCCGAGCCGATCTTATTCTGGAAAAGACACCACATGTGAGGAAACTAACACCTACCCTATAAATGATCACTGTTAGTATTTGTTTCATTAGATTAATGGCTAGTACACAATTCCCAAATTATGCATACCAAACAAGTGTTCATATCTTGTCTTATATGTGATTTTCAGTTAAAGAGTGCAAAATAAAACCATCCATGACAGCAAACAAACAGTTCTTTCACACTGTTTAAGAGAAGTTCCATTCAGTGATGAGCCACATGCTGCCCTCAATGAAACACAGGAATATCTCTCATTTTGCTATTGCAATTGCGCTGTAACTTAACTAAGAAAGTAAAACTTATGCAAAGCAGAAAACAATTTATTTTCACTTTAAAATCTGCACTCACGTCTGTAAAGACAGCGAGACTGAAAAGGGAAGGCAAAATCTGCATAAGAGCATCTCCGTAAATGTGTAAATGAGGTTTGATAACTGTAAATGGCTCAGGGCATGGCACATAGATTGTCTTTTTTTGCTCTGTGAATCATTAAAAAAACAACTTATATTTCTCCAGAGTTGTAGTGATCTTTTAAAAAGTGGTGCAGTGGTGATATTTGGACAATATAACATTTAATACCAGTATTCATGGCAGCTGTCTTCACGTTAATATACCAACGATTCTTGTTTTAAGTGAAATCACGGTTGAATTACTTGCACTCTGAATGTAGAATAAAGATGAGAACTGATAAAAGCCTGACTCACCTTAAACTTGCCCTCGCTTGAAAAGATGCTGACCCATTTGTTGTCATAGTCGGCGATGATGATGTCACCATTTGGGTGGACGGCTACGCCTGTGGGCCGCTGCAGCTGACCCGGAGTCCTGCCCCGGACACCAAAACGACTTTTGAACTGGCCATCGTTGGAAAAAATCTACATAACACAAAGCATTTTTTTAAAAATTAGATATTAAGCAAATTAAATTTCCATGGCTCCATAAAGTGTTACTACCTGTTATAACACAGTCCAAACTAAGTGCAGAGGAAGCAGCGCTGTTCGACCCCACTGAGTGCTCGTACGTTCACCACTGACCTCTGAATAAACTGCAGCATCTACAGCACTGAAAGTCTTTTTTTTTTACCTGGACACACTGGTTGTTGCTGTCTGCTATCAGCACCTTTCCCAGAGAGGATGCAGCCACTCCCTGCAGATTAGTGAACTCCCCTTTGTTTCTTCCCTTTGTGCCTGAAAGACATTAAAACACAGCCATGTTCATACTGGAGTGAACGATGCAGCTTATTGGTTCTGAGGTCAGGGTCGGACTGTCACGTGAAATGTCCTTTTAATCAAGTTACCTGCAGAGTGGTACTGCATGTAATGAAGTGATGCTTATAAATCAACATATAAAGGTGGCATAAAGCTCCATAGTTGCACGAACACAGGCAGCTGCTGTAATTTTTGCTGTTGTGCAAGTATTTAAAAGCATTTATACAGCATATTACCAAAATATAAAGATCTGCAGGTCTTATTGATTCATTGTTTTAAATATTTATTCTTTGTTTATTATATATTTATCCCACAAACTAGTAGAAAATTTGTGGACAAAATGCCATTAATGCCCTTTTTGTTTGACCAAAAATTCACACTCCAAATATGTCAAATTTACAGTATCAAAAAAACTGAGAACGACAGAAAATCAGCACATTTGAGAAGCTGAACAAATAGCAAACGTTTGGATTTTTTCATACAGACTCACCTGTAATTGGAAGAGGAGGCCAAGTTTGGTTGGAAAAGATTTAATACAGAAAGTAATTTCCTTGAATCTGACATCAGAGAGATTTATAAGCAGCTGATCTACTGACCTCAACTAGGCATTGTTTGAAATGTATGACTGTAAGTGCCAGTGCCATATCTGAAACTGATATAAACATAATATTTTACTCAATACCTTGCAGTAAGAAAAAAAAAAACTTTCTGCATCTTTCTACATTTCTCTTTTTTATTTAACAAAATAAAGTCACACTGAGAAGCACCTTTGAAACCTATTTAATCAGTTTGTTTCAGCTGGTACTAATAAAGGTTTGATGTTCAGTCCTCCTGGTCAGAAAACTCTCACTCTTACCAATTCTGAAGATGAGGTCGTCCTCTATGGGGTTCTCTTTCCTCCTGCCGGTGCTGTACATACTGGCCGGCCTCTTGATGGCCTTCTGTTTGATGTGTCCGCTGCCTGGAGACTTCAGCCTCTTCTTCATGCCGTCTGAAGTTGGCGACACATCTATGGACTTGGTGGCCTTTATCTTAAAGGGGCTTCCTTTGATATGTTGGTCATATAGGCGCAGTGATAAATTAAAAGCGCCCTCCTTGGGAGCTGTGAAAAGGTACTCATACGTGCCATTCTTGCTGTCCATTATCTCTCCGTCACCTTTGCTGCCGTCAGGTGAGGAGATTTCAGCGGTGATGACTGCGTTGCCCATCTTGCACAGCTCTCCATCTTTGTCCTTAGTGGTTATGGTGATGGATGTGGGCACGCCCACCACGCAGTGTCGTAGCCCTTCACCTGTTGCCACAGTCTCAGAGGCCACAGCGTTAGTGGTCACAATAGTGCCCAGGTTGTGGATGGACTTCTTGAGTCCTTCTGTCTCCACCAGGAAGTCCAGCTGGTCGTTCTCTCCGGGCTGCAGAGGAAGCTCCTGGCTGGCCAGCTCCATGAGACGCTCACCCATCTGCTTCTTCACCAGCAGCACCTCGGCCTCGGTGCCGTGGCTCAGGGCCTGCTCCGTGAAGTTGCAGCTGCTGTTGATGCCCTCCTGGCCCTGCAGCAGAGTATCCAGCTGGGCCTGGAGCACCTACACATGGACACAGCAGGGGGCAGCAGAGACACTGAAGTTAGATGAAACCAAATGACTGTTTTGTTTTCTTATAGTTACCCAGTTAAGTACATTACAGTTACCAGATGAAGTAAAATTATTCAGTGTCCAACAAAACCTTTTGTTTCTGTTAAATCCCAATGCCTAGTTTAGGAACCAGTGCGTTTTCTGCAGCCAAACCCACATTAAAACCCCAGCCAGCTTTAATGTTTAGTAGGTAAAGTGAAAAAAGATTTCCTCCATACCAGTGTAAAAACTAAAGATCAGGACTTGTCGGTATTGAGCGACTCTTAGCTTATTGTAAACATGCTGGCAGAAACATATATTGTTGTAATTCCTCACGTGTGCACCAGCAAAAGTCTGTCAGACGTGCACAGTGGCAGCTTTACTGTCCATGACAACAGATAAATGTCTGTCAGATGTGGCTGCCACGTCCTGTGTTCATTTATAATAACATCTAACTTCATTGTCAGTTCAGACTGAAATACATTTTCCATTCTTCAAGCCAATTTTGTGGTCCAGTTACTAACACAATTCACATCTGACCCTTTGACCCCACCGTGCTACACAACAACAACACAAATCTGTGAAATTGTTGTTACAAGCCTGATGGCAGACAGAAATAACCTTTAGCATAGTTACATAGTTTTGCTGCAGTTTTCTTTTATGTTCTTTATTATGTTCTTTAAATTTCACTCTACTTTTTTCAGCAATAATAAAAAAAAATGCATAAAAAAGCCTGTGTGCCACCCTCTAGCTTGTAGATGTGACAGAAACCTCACTGAGTCATGCTGCAACACGTCTGAGAACCAGTTTGATAAAAACAGTTTCATATCTTCACTGCTCTGAAATGACTTTTCCTTGTAAATGACTTACAGCTGATTTGGGAACATACAAATAAATGTAAGGTGCTCATGATCCATTGGGTGGATCATGCAATCTCACAGTGACTTTGCTAACTGCTAGCTATAGAAACTGATTAAACATCCTGAATTATTACATGCATGACATCATCACAAGTCATGCATTAGTGACGCATTGCTTCGTCATGTGTCTTCTAACCTTCATGTGAAGTGTCACCATCTCAACCAATAACAAACAAGTTGCAGTTAGATCATAAAACCTCTCAGTGCGCTACAGCACACATCAGGAACTATAATATAAAAGGCTGTTGTTTTCTGGCGACATCACCGTCATCTCATGAAAGCACAGAAGCAAACTCACCTGCATCTGGCCATCACACTCCTCTTCTCCTCCAAAAGAAGAGGCCATTTGGCGTTTTATCTCAACCTGGAGTCAAATGTTTCATCCAAATACCTTCAGCTACCACTCCTCCCTGTCGACTGATTCAACCTGACCAGCTCTAAAAACGAACATCCTCTCCATATGTGAGAACAGAGCAGAAGCTTCAGAGCAGGAGGACAAAGTGTTTGCAGCATGAAGAGCTGAGCCGTACTGTATTTGCTCACTGCACATGACACGCCCAAATCAACCCCGGAGTGCATACAGTACACTGGCTCCATCTAGCTACAGCAGTACAGCAGCTGAAAGTCACATATCTGACGTCCCACCCTCCCTGGGCTGCAGTGTTTTGACTGCACACCAGCCACTGAATGGTAAATCATTAGCAGCCCATGTGATGAGGCTCCCTGAGGGAGTGGCAGCCGGCTCTTAACTCATCTGAGTGATTGGTTGTCGGGTCGGGGTGGTGCAGCAGCAGCAGCTCCACCGACCCCCCTCTTTCTACCGGTTAATCGCCAATCAGGCCAGCTGAGCCCCCTGACACATACATCAGCAAAAACAGCCTGATGAGTCGCCTGCAAGAGGTTAAAGGCTTTCCAAGAATAGACTACAATAAGATCAGTGTTGTATTCATTTTAAAGTTACACTATTTTGATCATTTCTCTATAAATTCCTTATGGTGTTTATAACACAAGGTTTCTCGTTACTTCAGCCACATAACAAGTGCAAAGTGCTTTACACTGATTCAAAACCTCAAACAACATTCATCATGACTGTGATCACAAAAGTCTCATTGAAACATTCACACTTGAACTTCTCTCTTTACCTTCTGCTTGAGGCCGTAGTTGACCTCCAGCTCCATTAATAAAACGCTCTTGCGGACGTTGAGGGTCTTCTGCAGCTCATCGAACGTAGAATGGATGTCGTCCTCAATGGAGCTCTTCTGATTGGTCAGCTGCTGCAGGATCTCTGACAGCGTGTGCAGGGCCGAGTCGATCTCTGGTAACCTGGAAGCAACGAGGAAAATGAGGAGAAAATGTCCATAAAGCCGGTCAGGAGTCATATGAGAGAGAGTGTGACAATAAAGGAGGATTGTGTTTGCCCAATGCATGTCATTGATACGCATGACGTCTGCGGTGCAGCCTAATGACATCTACATAATGCTCCTGTTGTACCTCTTCTTGACGGCGTCGAGCTGGTCCTGTAACGAGGCCTTGTGTTGCTCCACTACGTCTTTGAGAGGCACAGTAGGATGTTCTCCGTGTTCCCCACTCGTACACTCCTGACACATGGCTGTCTCACACGGAGGACAGTAAAACTCCATGACCTGAAATGCAAGAAAAGTAAAGATTAGACTTAAAACCAGGCATGAGTCTTACACCAAAACTATTTAGCCACATTAGCACTGTGGTTCTGTGGGCAGCTGATTGACAGCTTTGGTTCAGACTGAAAAATCTCAACAAACATGTCATGGATTGCTATGAAATTTTGTGCAGGCATTTAAGGCCCTCAGAGGATGAATCCTAGTGAGTATGTGATCCCCTAACTTTAATTCTAGCTCCATTGTGAGGTTTATATTGTTGATTTTGTTTGATTTTGCTGTAAATCTTGGTAAAGTCATACATGATCCCCCAAAACATCGACATGGTTTTCACAGCTTACCCATACGATTGAAAGGCATCTTTTAATAATGAAGCCGTATTTTACCATAATACAGTTTTTATGGGGTTAAAAATCACGTAGACTCACCTACACATATCCAAGATTACCTCATTATTCTACGTGATAAAGGGAATGAAAACACTCTGCAGTGTTTGTACTGGAAGCCCCTGTTGTTAGAAACATATTTTGCTTTGTTGTTCTACAGTTCTGCATGATTAGATCAGTCAAATTTAACTCAATTGTATTTCAGAAAATTCCTCATTTAAATTAAATCAAGTTGGACCACATTGTTCCCAATGTTTCCATACTGGGCCCCACAAGCTGAAACCATTTATTCAAACCTGGATGGTTGGAAAATGACAGGAATCGGGATTCTAGAAGATAATTTTCTCAATTATGTACCAACTTTTGTTTTCCATTTTTTAAATTAGATATCTCCAAATCAGACTCAATATGAAGGAAAAGTTTCCCCATGTTGAATCCACCCCAACCATTGATTCTTGAAGCTTGAGCCAGTGATTTGAATCCAGAGGTACCAGCAGAGCTCTGGGTTGAGGCAACACCTCGGGTTCATTGCTATTCTGTTAACACCTGATGTGTGGGCTGCATTGCTCAAAAACTAAACTTAAGCACATCTTCCCATCAGTGTTCTCTCAGTGTGACAAGCGTTGCTCTGCTGTGAGGGTTGCTAACGCATCCTTTTTGGTTTCACCCGACACTGTGCAGCTTCTGGAATGCAAATTTCAAATTGCTCTCAATACCCTTTTCCAGTAACATTACGCCACAAGCTGGCAGCAATGTTTTGATGCTCTACAGACACTTTTGACCTTTCATTTAATGTGCAGTTTTTTTCTACAGATTGAGTTCAGGAGATGGAAATGATGTCTGTTGCATAAATGGAAAAAAACTGCATCTGTACAAACCCAGCACAGAATAGATATGAGAGGATATGAGGCCTCTGCTGGCACAGGGTTGCATCACTGCTTATAAATAAGGACCTAGATTCGTCTTGTAACACAAATGGGTATGGAAATTAGCTTGACTCATTTTTCAGTGTTGCTCATCTTCACTCTCAAGATGTTACTATTGTGTTAACGTTATAAAAGAGAGCTACATTTTTGGTTTTCTTTGGTATTTTAAATTGTCTGACAGCCCTCCTTTAAGTTTCTCTTTTAGTTTTGGGCATTTTTGTCTTTTATTCATATATCTTTCATATATTGTGCCCTTGCCATACTGTAAAAATAAGTATATATTTTTAAACTCCTAAAATGACATTAGGGTGAACGTAAACATCAAAAGCAATCATTACATAAAACCTGAACTTCTCATCAGCCCAAAAGCCAAAAACATACAAGTAGTTACACTTAAATGAGAAAGAAAAGAGAGCGAGAAACGTGAATACTTTCAGGCTTAAACTGTATATAAATCTATAACTGACCCACTAGCTGCCTTACAGCTCTCACTTTATGCATGAGTTTACACATTTGTTTAATGTCATACTATCATTGTTGAGCACTTTGTGAGTATGAGTGCATGAAAAACAGGCATGCAAAAGTGGTGTGATTCCTCTTACACTGCCTCCATGGTTGGGGCAGGAGAGCAGCTGGCCTGTAGCCACAGTGGTGATGTTGTTGAGAGCGGCGGCCTCCTGGCTGCAGCTGTCCGGCGCCCGCTGCAGCACGTCCATCAGGTTGGTGATGAAGAAGTTATTCTGCAACGCCGCCACACCTTTCTCCGGCAGGATTGAGGTCTGGCGGCACACGGGGCACGACAGTGTGAGGCTGTGGGCCGGGATGTAATTCTGCAGGCACCTGCAGGACGAGAGGACGGACGGTTGAAAGCTGTATTAAAAAGACTGTGGCTCAAGCAGATTTTTTTTTTCTTTTTCTCCAAACTGACAAGTCTCATAGGATATAATCTTATTTTTAGTTACACAATGCAACTTGTCAGCATTCAACAAAAACACTGAAGAGCAACAGTTGTATTTGACCTTAATAAACCAGAGGGACACATTAGGAAAATCTTGCCTTTGAGGACATCTAGTGGTTGAAAGTTTTACACCCTGACAGTGATTTACAGCACCGACTTGTTTGCTTCCTCCTTTATCAGCTACGCCGGTGCACATTAGTGCAATCAAACACCATAAACCTGCCATAAATGCAGTCTTTGTGAAGCTTTTAATGTCCGGTGTGCAACACATTGACACTGTGTCAGAGACGGTTCGCGCCGCCATCATTAGAGTCATCATCAGAGTATTGAATTGCAATTGATTGCACATGTACTTAATGAATTCAGTATAGTGCAACATCATAGACCATTCTCATGACTAGCAGTGTCACAATATGTCCCACTGATATCATGCTAATACACATATGATAACAAAAGTTTCCAATCTGTTTGACACTAACATGGGAACAACATTCAGTACACTTACACTCCGACAGCCTGCCTACAACGGTATTCTGAGAGTAAACACAACAAGGCGAATGAAAGATGAATTTTACTAACAGCATATGTATTTTTTTTTTCTAAGTCTTAGTCTTTGAGTAGATATCATGCATTGTTTTGGCTACAATAACTGTGTAGTTTCAGTACAGAGGTCAGTGCAGTGCATGTCTTTGTGCCACTGAGGACCGAGTGCTTCATTGCCTTTTTAACATCCACATAGTTGTTCTGGCTTCTCTACTACAATTAAAGCATGATTAAACATAGTTCTATCTGCAGCGGTAAAAAGTAACTGAGTAACTATGTAGTCTTAAGCTACTTTACATTTCCACGTCACTACAATTTTAAGAAAGATTTTGCACAATGGATAATATAACAAGCTTATAAAATACAACACACACTTAAAGATCATTCCAGTTTCCAACCACTTTGGCATCATTACAGAAAGCACTGTGTTGTTTGGATCACATTTTAGATGTCTGAGTTGTTAAAAGTTCCATTAAATAGCGTTTTTTTTTCTCTCTCTAAACTTCACACAGGATCCAATTTATTGACCAAAAATCAAACATTTTAGAATAAGTCCACAAACTGTAAACAGATTTGTGTATCAGGACGTAGTTTTTTTAAGTCTCTTTTCTCTCCCATTAATCATCCGACCAGCCTTTAAATGTATCTGATGTCCTTGTATATAAAACTGTATATAAAGTAGTTCAGACCTGCAGCAGCTCCAACAGTAACACACTGATGCTTCTCTATTAATAATCTAATGATGTCCTATACGACTACATATCACTTAGAGGGACTAGACCACCGCTTTTACCTCAATAATTTAACTACATTTTACTGCTAAATCTTGCTAATGTATATACTTTAACAAACATTATTTCACATGCAGGACTTTTACATGTAATGCAGTATTTTTACATTGGTACTTTTACTTGAATAGAGGATCTCAATACACCATCTAGCAGCAACATGAGGAAAATCAAAACCCAGGATATACAAAGCTTTAAGATAATTTCACTGTAATCTGATTCAATCACTGTGTTAACTATGGGAGGAGATGGTACATTAAAATTTATCACAGATAATTATGTGAGAAATAGATGCACGGCTCAGAACGAGGAAACAACTTTACTGTTAAATGTAACAGCACAATAACCCTCCAGAAGCAACCAGAGCCAAAGGACAGCCTGGCACAGTCCACAATTTGTCTTTTGTGTCAGGAACAAAGGCTGGTAAACAGAGAGGATGAGGCCAACACAACAAAGTCAACAGCAGCGATGCAAAACCATCTCTTGTGAGAATAAAGCAGTATTGATTAAGCATTCTAAAGCATTGTTGCTGCGTCTTGCTCGTACTGTCGGGCAGCATAGCCCTTTCACATAAAATACATTTGCATTTATACATATAAAGCTCAACAAGTGTTGCCCAAAGTACAAAATGAACAGGATTAATCAGAACAGCTTGGTAACTCCACTTACCTCTCACAGAAGGTGTGCAGGCAGGGCAGTACTTTGGGGTTTTCGTAGCGGTCCAGACATATGCTGCAGATCAAGAACTGCTTGTCAATTTGGCGGACGACGGGACTGGGAATAGTGGAGCCTTCACTGGCCATCCTAAAACATAGGAGTCCCTCTTCCTCTTACCCTGCACCCTGCGGAGTGACACACAGGGATTAAGTACGGAACAAAAGGGCACCGTGTATGATCAAACGCACCGCAACGGTCTCACGGTGGTGAGTGGAAACCTGCGGGTTGTAAAGATCAGAGTTTGAGGTTGAAGGCAAAGACAAAGTAGCTTCTTCCTTCCGTGCGCTCGCTGAGAGAGGAAATGCACAAAAAGACACGCCGATCAGCGCCTGTGGCTCCTGGCTTTAACCCAATCCTATAAACAATGAAGTATTAAGATTAGAAACAGTGGCTGTAAACATCCCCTCAATCTGCAGGACACTCCCAGTTGATCAGTAGAGGAACCTCATTACCATGATTACATCCTCTCATCAATATGTCAATAGGATCAGGTATAACATCGAAGAGGTTGAGAACAAGGAGGTGGGGGTCCAAGTGACCTCAGCTGATGATCAAAACACGAAGAGATCATTTGTAAAAACAGATAACTCCATCACCTACCCACTTTTCCATCATCTACCTGAGACAATACCAATCAAACTTGAATTATCTCTATTTTTGTCAGTCAAATCCACTCAATTTCAGTTTGATTAATATTATCTCAAGCTAACAAACAACAACGACAAAAGATTTCAGAAAATCTACAAAAATGGAGTTATCTGTTTTTGCAAATGAACTCTTCACATTAACAGCCTGGTCAACATTGTAAACACACTGGGATCAAAAGTTCATTTCTGACATTTGGGAATAACAGCTCACAAAAACATTTCACCACAAATCCACTCAGTTGTTCTAGAGTTTGCAATCACATCACACAATCTTGCTCAGCAGATGGACTTAATAAGCTGATGCAATGTTCAGATTTCCATTACTCTACAACTTGGCCTAAAAATTATCTCTTAAATATGGATTTGGGGTTTTGGAAGCAGCGGATGGCAAAAAAAAAAAATCAGTAAGAAAAACAAACTAAATAGTGACTAGATGGACCATTTGTATTTTTGGCAACAGTCCATCAGTCTAATTTTTTTTTTTTTTAGCTTGTCATCCTTTAAAATGAGGCACTGTTTACTTGTGACTCTTTGTCACAGCTGGATAGATTCAAGCTTTTAAGCAATTCAACCAAACCCAAGTCTGGATAAATGTCCAAGCAAAGTGTTTCAGGGAACCAGACCCCAGTTTGCACAAAATCACAGATAAACAGCAAGCCAGTTTGTTTTTGCCAACTTATTTGCCAGCAACAAGTTTGGTTCTAACGTAACACATTTGCATATTTTTACCTTGAGGACCTCTAATAGGTAAAGCTGCAGTAGGCTGTAAAAGCTGATATTGATTTATGGCTTCACACAGGATCCAAACTCTGCTCTTCTGAGTAAAAGTTCTCTGTTTGACCATCACCATCCTATTTCAAGTGCAGACTTTGTTAGCTGGCTGGAAAGCCCTGTGATTGGCTAAAGTCTCTGATGACAGGATAAACTTTCTGAAGCATGAATAAAGAGCTAGGAGGAGGTGATGAACCCAGACCACATCAATTATTGTAATTTGCTGGAAGATGATTGTGGAATTTTGGCACAATGATGATGCCAAAAAAATTTTTAAAAAAATGCTGCCTACCCCAGCTTTAATTCAGGCTGTGACCAAAAAGTGATGGTGCTTTGTCCTATTGTTTAACTTCAATAGTCTACATGGATATCCAGTTACTAGGAACCAGATTGGCGCTGGCTAACATTATTAAGTGGATCGAATATCAGCCAGATAGGCCTGATCCAGATAAAGTACAGTTTCTTTGTAAATGTCATTATGAAATTGAGAGCTTGAGCTGTATGAGCTTTGATACAGTCCTGAGCGTAGGCACAACAGCAATCTGTGGCCTCATGTTGCTACACATTTCTCAGTTTCTCAGTTACGTAAAGATGGTAAATCCTGGAAAAAGAAATACGGATAAGTGTTCCATATCAGCAAATGTCCCGAGTTACTACATCATTTGAGAAAAGTAAAATTTTACTTTTACCAGACTGCTTCTTCTTCCCTTTTATTTTACCCATGAAGTTACATTGTGTATTTGTGTCGCGACCCCATAGTGGGTCTCGACCCCCGTGTTGGGAACCACTGCAGCAGAAGAGCAGTGGTTGTATCCGAGCTGGAACTTTTGCTGCGTGTTTGTCATAAAAGGCACTTTGAGTGATAAATATTTGATTACAAAGTGAAAGCTACGGCACTCAGCGTTCAGCACACATTAGTGAGAAACAAAACAGTGAAACGACCGACACAAGACGCCGCAACAGAACAGAACCGAATAATTACGACTAATTCTGCATCCTTTCCACAGTGCTCTTTAATTTTATCGGAAACATCTTGTCCCTGCATGGTTTCCTCTGCGTGATATTCCTGTAACATTATCTGGCAGCTAACTTAGACACGGAAAGTGTGTCAGTGCTTTTATTGTCTCTTCACATTGAAGACAGGCACAGAAACAGGCCACCTCTGCTGCTGAGAGGAAAACCCTCAGGGACTGGACTTCTTTCTACGGTGCACGCTCTTTCTCCTCTCTCCTCCAGTCTATTTTCTCTTCATCCGTCTCCTCCTTTCAATACTGTCTCTGGGAGCAGATATGTGAGCCTCGAACTACAATGTGGTGTTTGGGCAAGCCTGAAAATGCAGATTAGAGGATATAAATACTGTTATAATGAAGCTGCTGTGCTGTCAGTGAGCTTTTTTGTCAAACTTTCCAGCATGTTAGATGGTTGGTATGTTATGTGTTAGCTGCCAAACAGTAAAACACTGAGCAGCACAGTCACAGTAGTGCAGCTGAATGCACAGCAGCTAAATTCGGACTCCACAAGCTGATCTTTAAAAAAAAAAAAAAAAGCTAAATTTTACAACTGTCATCTATATTCATTCATGTGCACCCACATATAAAACAAAAACAAACATTTGCATGTGTCAGATTTGAATATGCCTGCACACAGACATGCACAAACACAAAAAGCTCAGAAACTGCAACTCACCGGCTCCACAGACCAGCTCAAAAGAGATGAACAGAGTATCAAATATGGCCCTGATTATAAATCTAAAAATCCTAAATCCCGCAGACAGTCACAACAGGACAACAGAAGCAGCGCTGTGCTGACAGTGCACAAGGTCGCAGCAGCAGCCACACAACGCTTCTCTCTTACATAATCAGATCCGCACCAGCTAAGCGGAATAATTCCTGTTGGACTGAGTCGTCCTCTTGTACGCAGAGGAAGGTACGCATGACAGAGGGGGATATTATTGGAGGAATTTCTTCTAAAACAAATAAATAGAACCTTCTAGCACCTAATGACTCCACGCTAAAAAAAAAACCCAAAACAAAACATGAGATCAAGACAGCAGCAGCTATTCTAAATAGTTCAGCACAACTATGACAATATCAGTAAGAAGACTTACAGTGCTGCATTTATGAACCAATCAACAGGCGTCATCCACACCAGCATACAGACTGAAACACTGCATCCAAATCAGTCAAACACAGATTCTTTGTGTGTCAGATCCCTCTGAACCTGCCGTCAAGCCATATCAGTCCTGACATGAAACGATGCTTCCCTCCAGGTGGTGACGAGAAGCCAAGCAGGAGACGCCAGGATGAGTGTGAGCAGCTCGGCTCCTCCATGTGTTTATGGGTGTGCACACACGTGAGCAAAGTTGAGGAGGGGCGATTCAGCCGGATTGTATTTCGGTTTTTACATCATCGTTTCCCCTCCCTCCTTTACTCTCCCTCATCACTTCCTCTCCTCCCATCACTTGCATTCCTCGCTCGGTCCGTCTCATCCATTCATCTCCCTCCTTCCTCTCTGTCTGAACTAAATGCTGCCTCACTGCAGAGCGCCGAGCGTGTGCAGCATCAGGAGTATGTGAGCCAGTATTGGCTGACGGCCGGTGATCCAACAAATGGGGGGGAGAAAAAAGAAAAAAAAAGAAGCAGTTAAGGGTCTCCAGCTCGGCCAATAGAGATGGAGCCAAATGGATCTTTCTGAGTGCATATGTGTGCAGGCTGCTGACTCACTGTGCATGCACAGACAAAACAGAAGAAAGTCAGATGCAGAAAATGAAGAGAGGGAAAGAAGATGACAGAGAATTAGCAACCTCAGAGTATGGCAGAAAAAGAAGAGGTGAGCAGATGTGTTTTCCTTTAACATGAAACAAATCTTATTTCCCTTTTGAGAGAATAGAGCCCAACTGAAAAGGCCTGACTGCCATCAGCGTCGTAGCTACTCGGACTCTACCGGTGTGTCTGAAAACCTATAGAAAATAAAAACAAACTGTGCAAACTGCAACCTTAAGACGCCAAGAAAGCCCAGACCTGATAAATAAACTGCTGGATGATACTAGCACATTATGTACATCATGTGATGGGTTCTCCACCACAAAAAAAGGAAACTTTTGGTCAGTAAATGGAGTGACTGAAAGGGTTTTTGGTGCATGATTCCGGTCGGTCTGCTGACAACTGTTCAGTGGATAGAAAGCAAATGATAAATCACAGCTACGTGGGCGACATTAGGAACAAGAACATCATCTTCATTCACGGCCAGCTAGCTTCTTCTGAGCTAAATCTAACGACGGATGAGACCGACTGAGGTGATATTTTAATGTACACATACAGAAATAATAAGTCGACACACTTTGATTAAAGTGACAAATATGAACTTTTAGCAACTGCTGCCACAGTGTCTTTGTCTGAATGAAAACTGGGATGGATGCATCACTTGGTACTCACTGGTTAAGAGAAAATTATGTTCTAGAGAATGGGCTGGGAGAAAATAGGACTCCTTCATGCGAGAAATCAGTTAAAATGAGCCCAGTGTGAAACAAAATGGCATTTCACTGTGATTATTGGGGTAAATAGTCTTGATTGTTTGCATCAAGTTTCTTGTTTGCAGGTAAAACATGTAAGTGCATTAAAAAAATGTTCCCTGTTGACGGGCAGAATGTGAATCTATTATTGTGTGGAAAGTCCTAACTGTTTATGGAAAAAATGACAAATGTTTTT